TGGAGACATCAGCGTAACATTGATCTGGGCAAAGGTTATTTGGGAATGACTTTAAATGTTCTCTTTACAAAAAATAATGGAACAGCTGAGCAATGGTGGCACAGGCCTTTAATCCCAGCACTTGAGAGGCAGAGGCAGGCAGATATCTGAGTCTAAGGCCAGCCTTGTCTACAGAGTGAGTTCCAGGACAGCCAGGGCTACACAGAGAAACCCTGTCTCAAAAAAAACAAAAAACAAAAACAAGACAACAAACAAACAAACAAAAAAACCCTAAAATGAGTGTTTGAAGCAATGGATGCATTAGTTAATTTGGCCATTTCACAGTGTATGTGTGTGTATAGATATGCACATGTGTGTATTTTCATATATATGTACATACACACACAACACACATACACATATAACTTTTATCAATTAAAAATAAGTAAAGGGGGACTGGAGAGATATCTCAACAGTTAAGAGCACATACTGCTCTGGCAGCGGACTTGAGTTTGGTTCCCAGTACCCATGTAGGGCAGCTCACAACCGCCCATAACTCAATTCCATGACATCGAAAACCCTCTTCTGGCGTTAATGATTCTTGCACACACATGCATGTACCCACCCCCACATATATACATAACTAATTAAAACTAAAATAAACAAATCTTTAAAAAATGAGTTAAAGGCTAACCGGATGGCTCAGTGGTGACAAGTGCTTGCTACCTGAGCCTGACAAATTGTGATTCCTGGACCACATGGTAGAGAGAGAGAACTGATTGTTGAAAGCTGTGCTCTGACCTCTACACGTGTACTATGTATGGCACATGCATGTCCACACTCACACATACAATGATACATAAAATGATTTTAAGTTAAAAAAATTTAAAAGAGAAAGTCCCTGAGACACTCTGTCTATAGTAACCAGTGTAAAGATCCCGACACATGTCATCCTGTGTCTGTCTGGATGTGAATGTACACATTTTAAACCTTAACTGTGACAGTGCAACATGGATAGCTTTGCTTCTTGTAAAAGGCACAATGTAAATATTTCCTCAGACTCTCTCTCATAGTTTTTCTGTACCACCTTCATACTCTTTTAGAGTGAATGCTACAGTCTACTTAACTCTTTCTGGATGCAAAGTTAGATTGTCTTCATAGAATATGCACAAGTATGGCTTTTATGAGCTACACTAAAAGATAGCATCCAAAAAATTTTTTATATAAGCATAAGCCACTTAGGCCAGGACAGAGTCTGTGATGTTTGGGGGAACGGTCCCTCAAAGGCTGTGACATTGGGAGGCAATTGAAAGACTTATTTTGGATCTAGGAAGGGCATGGAATTAAGTTTTTTTTTGTTGAGCTAATGGATTCTATTTCCGGGATGAGTGCCGGAGAGAATGTTTATTAAGCACCTAGAGAAATGGAAATTAATACGAATGTCTATTAGCCACTAAAGCCCATGGAAGGATGAGACTGAGCCCCGGCAGCAGAGAAGAAGAGCAAGCCATAGTAATGGAGGACTCAGCATGTGTGGGGACTTTCAATGAAGACAGAGACTCACGGCGTAATTAAATCAAGTCCTTGGACAGCTGAGCGACAGGCTGCTAATGTGCCACAGAAGAGGTTGAAGACACTTTTGAGAATGGAGATTTGGTTTCAGTGTCTGTGGAAGCCAAGCAGATCCTATGGCCCAGCATCTCAAAGAGAATGCATGTGCTAATTAGTGATGGTTCTGCAGATTTGCCTAAGGTAATGGCATGCAGATGGTCATTTATTTATTTAGAAATGCCATTATTTTATCAAAGGAGGCCATTAGTCAGTGAGCATAGTCTGGATGTCTGGTAATGTCTGTGTGTGTATGTGTGGGTGTATGTGTGCATGTGTGCATGTGTGCACGTATGTAGGTGTGTGTATGGGTGTGTGTGCACTTGTGTGTGGAAGGCAGAGGTTGATGGCCAGTGTCTTTGTTGATCACTCTACCTTTATATACTGAGGCAGTCTCTCACTTGAACCCAGAGCTCACCCATTCACTGAGTCTAGCTAGCCAGCTTGCTGTGAGAGTCAGTTCCCCATCTCCATGTCCTGAATCCTGGCATTACAGGTAGGCCATGCCCTGCCTGGCATTTATGTGGGTGCTTGGAATCCAAACTCAAGTCCTCATGCTTGTGTGACAAATGATTCATTTGCTAAGCCATCTCCCTAGACCAGGTACGTATAGTGTTAGCTCTTAGCCAATCTACACACTTCCAAAGATGCTGGTGACAATCCAAAGTTCAGAAATGCTTGGCAGGGGCAGAACAATGTGGACAATAAACATTTTTTCCCTCTGTCTTTGAAAAACCTGCTTAACATGAAGCAAGCTGGTAGCAGAAGTGGTCAGCAAGCTGCCAGGGAAATCAGACTGCAGAGGCTACTCAAAGGAAAGGCTTGGTATCAGAGGTGCCTGCTCTTGCCATACATGCCTTGTTGAGGCCCACGGTTTCTCTCAGGTGTTTCTAAACAAAGCAAACACACTCTTTTGCCAGTGTCCGCACATTCTGCCAATTGGATAGTCAGGCTAGTCCCAGGGGCCTGCTCAGCTGCTCAGTGGAAGAAAGAAAAGAGGAAAATGGTCTCCGTGATGTAGAATGGAGTGGGCTGTGGCCATTCCCTGTGGTGTGTAGGCGTCTGATGGGGTGTGAGCCATTTCTGCCAACCTGAGAGGGATGCTGTGCTCTCCAACGAGATTAGCATTGCATTTCACTTGTTTTACCTTACGGAATAAGACTCAGTCTGTGGATTTGTTTCCAGTAAGGCAATGTTCTCTGAAAGGAAAAGTAACATATTCCCAGAGACTGAATTTGACAGCTTTGGTTTCTGTTTCCTGCCCTTCGGAGGATGATGTCACACACTCGAATGCTGAATTCAGGCTTCTTCGGAATTGTGCATTCCTGCCGTGTGCTTCCACGAACTTATGGTTTCTAGAACCCATGAGGTTTTCTTCCAGGCCTCTAAGTCCTGGGAGGTTGCTGAAATCAGTGCTTTTCTCTGTCATGAGCACTGTCCCCAGGTGAGCTGCTAAGATCCAACCTGACATTCAGACCCCTTAGAGAATTTCTGTGTCAATCAAGTCTCCACCAGGGAATAGATGATACCCTCATGTTAAAGTAAGTTCATGGTGGGTTTTGTGTGTGTGTGTGTGTGTGTGTGTGTGTGTGTGTGTGTGTGTGTGTGTAAAAGCTACCACTAGAAACAGTAGAGCTGTCAGCACTCTTCATTCCAAGGCAGAATCCAGACCCAGAATGTCAGTCATGCATAAAAGGCCACCTTGTTGGAAGCCAGACCCAGCTGGTCACACACAGGTTGTACAACCCTAACCCAAAAATAGGAAACTCAAAATACTCCAGAATCTGAATTTGCTGAGTTCTGAACATGACTCTACAGTTGGAAATTTCTGCCCTTGATGTTCTGTGACAGTTACAGGCAGATAGACACACTGAAAACATTGAACAAAATTACCTTCAGCCTACATGCATGAGGTATATACAAAACTTGGATTTTCTGTTTGGACTTGGGTCTTTTCCCTAAGATATCTAATTTTATATATGCAAAGATTCCCAAATCCAAAAGGAAATCTGAAACACTTCTGGTCTCAAACGTTTCAGATAAAAGTTGTTGAGTCTGTGGGTCCTGGCATTGTCTTTGTTTCTGTCCCTCTGATCTGCTGGAGATCCTAGGAACTGCAGTCAGAAGTCAGGGGAGGGTCTTGTGCTTGTGACTCGGATGGCTCAGTTCTGAGGTCAAGAGTGGGGCAGACAGAGAAGGAAGAAGGGTAGATGGAGGGGAGGAAAAGGAAGCCATGAGACACAGTCCAACCTTGGACCTGCTGAGTCCATTCCTGTCCTTTGTGTTTTTGAAATTTCATAGTTTCTAAGTAGCAAATGCAAAAATCACTATCACTTTGTTTTCTTTTATGTGGAAAACTTAACCCAGCCACAACTGCTGATGTTCGTACACAAGGCAGCAGAGGAGAAACTGCATAATTAAGTAGCTTGGATGCTATTGTTTTTGTTTCTGTAGAGAGCCTTGAGGTACAGACTGATAATCACAATTATTTCTTTCCTCGTTGATTCCATGTTCTCCTTATCCTTTACTGGCCCCACAATTGTTACAGGTTTTTTATTTTCTGCATGCCTGAAGACAGTGGAACCTTCACTCCAGCAGGGTGATGGACAGGAGTCTCTTGAGGTCCACTGGTCAAATCCATCGTCTAAGGAAGCACTTATAAGGCACTCCAGGGGATGGGGCAATGACTCAGTCCACTGCGCAAGCATGAGTACTTGGGTTTAGATCTCCAGCATCGGCATCCAAAACTGGGCATGGCAGCCTGCTTCTGCAGTCCCATCTCTGGACAGGAAGACACAGGCAGATCCCTGGAGCTTGCTGGCCATCCAGCCTATTCAAATTGGCAAGCTCAAGATTCAATGAGAGACCCTGTCTCAAAAAATAAGACATATAACAACTTAGGTGTGGGAGCCCGTTCTCAGGTTCCTCGTGGCTTTACCCAGCAGGTCCGAATAGAGGATGATCAGGACCACGGGCCTGAGTGCAGGTGTCTGAGATGGCCTGCACTTGGCTGTGCTGGGGGAGGAGGTCTTTTGCTCCACCCCCTTGGCATCTCTATAAAAACCCTGGGCCAGAGACAGTCGGGGCCTGTTGGAATAGGTTCCAGGCCCTCTCGAGGCTATCCTTTATTTTCTATCTGTTTATCTCCACAAGATTCTCCGCTATAAATCCTTCTATCTAATATTTCCTGCTGATCGCACTCAAGAAAACTCTGGGAAGCTGTAGGGGTGGTGGGTAAACGCCCCACACTTAGGGAGACATCTGGCCTTCACATGAAATGCACAAAAGTGCCCATGTATTTGCCAGCTCTCGTGCGCATACACACACACACACACACACACACACACACACACACACACACACACACACCACTGGACATTTTGAGTTTCTAATCTAGTCCTTGTTTTTCTCAGATTGCTATTCTTCCTGGACAATAAGCAGTCTCAGCTTCCACCTCATTGGAACTATGACTTCTGAACCCACTGAATCCAGGCTATGGGGATGAGAAGCGGTAATTATTGAAGTAAGTTATGGGAAATGCTAGGACACTAGTTTTCTAGTTCTTTCCCAGACTTCCTACTATTTTCTTGAAATCCTGACTGCAAAAAAGATGAAACCACATGGAGTCTGCTTTTCAAAGTGCATTCTGAGTCCTGTGGGGGAGGGACCTAAGCTCACAGGTCTTTCTCCAGATGGCTTGAAACCCTCAGAAGGCCACCCTACAACCCTACAAAGCCGGACCCTTCTAGTAAGGTAAGACTAGTGAGTTCCTCAGATGTACCCAAGGTCTGACTTCACTGTTGTGAAATGTAACCCCTGCTTTGAGACAACATGACCTGGGGCACCATGCTGAATAAGACACTATGTAAGTCTGTAAATAGCATCTTTAGTCCAAGCAGCTTGGGTGGGTATGACAAGCACATGTCTATCATGCATGCCTAGTCCCAAAATGACAAGGCAGACCCATTCTACTATTAGAGGGGTCTAATTTAGTCACCTGGTGCCACTCAACATTGTTCTCTGATAGTTTGTGAACCCTCAGTATTGAGATTAGCCTTCACAACTGTAAGACTACGCCAGCCGTGGATTACATACCATTTATCCCTGAGAATATTGCCACAGTGTTCTTAAGGTATTCATCATTTATCTCCACAGATGTGGTCATGTTGTACATGAGCAGGCATCACACCCATTGAACAGGTACCAGGTAACTAGAGAAAGGGGCTGCTTTGCAACCCATAGAATTGGACATCTTGTCTACCCGAATTATGACTGTCTCCACTGTGGATGCTTCAGGTGGTCATTTAGATGGATAGGATATCTTGACATTTTGTGTCTGAGAAGTTTGTTCCATTACTTCACTCCCAGTCTTCCATCTTTCTTCTATCCTATTTTGGTTCTCACCAGGCAACCTTCCTACATCCCACAAGACAGAGTAGAAGCCCATGCCATTTCTCCTTTTATGAGTTAACTGGTTCTTAACCTTGGTACGTCAGAGAGTCCACTAACTTGGATGGGAGAAATAATACATCTCCATTTTTCAGAAACATCAGAGTTATACTTAGCATTTCTCCCAATTATGAGTCAAGTCAGCAAACCACAATGGTGCTAGTATACCTGTGGCTTGACGTGAACTGAAATCACACACTATTCAGCAACACATCCCCTTGTTTGTGGATGGAGACAACATCTATACATCACTACTTCAATATCACAGCAGCATGCATTTTTTTTTTGTTTTGTTTGAGCAGTGGAGCCAATACAGATGAGATTATTTGTTCTTTTACAACCAAGACACTTGTGTTACAATGAAAATTAATTTACTGTTTTTTAGATTTACTTTATTTTTACTTGTGTCTATGTTATGGTCTGCTGAATGTGTGCAAGTACCTGAGAAGGCTGGAAGAGGGCATCAGATTCCTTGGAGATGGAGTTACAGGCAGTTATGAGTCACTTGAGGTGTGAGCTGTGAACTGATCTCTGGTCCCCTGGGAGAGCAGGACACACTCTCAATCACCGAGCTACCCCCTCCAGCCCCATTTATATTACTTTCAAGCATTCCTTGTCTTCAGTTCTTTGTTGATAAACTTGTGAAAACTGGTTGTCGCTTCTCAGAATTTGCTAAAGTTTGAACTGGATGGTTCCATGGAAAATTCTTCGTGCTGTATTGCACGCTTTCAAGTTTGCATCTGCCAAATAAGGAAGCCCCGCACTGCTGGGAAGATAGCAGGAGAAGCCATATGTCTTAGATTGGCCTGGGCTGGTTTGTGGACTGGAAAAGAGACAAGGAGCTGATAGCAGCACCCTTGCTTGCTTGTGGGCTCTGGTCTGCTACAGTTGACTTTTTAAGAAAACCCTTCTGAAATCTCTTGTGAAGAATTGGCATCCTCAGCATACGGAGGAGGAAAGCAGATGCTTCTCAGGATAGCAGCTCCCTGCTTTTGCTCCCTGTGAGCATGCCAGTGCCTTTAGAGGGTTCTTATTTTGAGAGTCCCTTTTGGACATTACAAAGCCCTCAGTATTTTGGAAACGAACGGTAGGAACATTTTTTTTCCCAAACAAAACTTTGCCTGGAAATAAAAGCTTCAGACTCCGCAGATGGCATTCTGAAATACTCCATGAGGCATCGACATTGGTGTGTAGTGGAAATGGAAGCTCCTTGAGCCCACGTCACTCATTCCTTTCTGCACAGCCATACATTGGCATTATAGCTTCTTCCAACATTCAGATGCTTCATCAACACCCACAGAGCTGTCAGCTTGATTAAAGGCAGATCTCCCAGGCTGGAGAGATGGTTCAGTCAGGATACTGATTGCCATGTTTAAGGCAAGCAGAAGGACCTGACTTTGTTCCTTAAAAGCCATGTAATAAAAATCCAGGCACGATGGTGTGTTCCTGTAGTCAGAGCTCTGGGGAAATGGAGCTGGGCATGCTCTGCTGTTCACTAGCCAATCAGCCTAGACTACTTTGCAAGCTCCAGGCCAGTGAGAGACCCTGTCTCAAAAAAATTCAAGGTAGTTGGAATTTGAGTAATGATACTTAAGGTTGAGCATTGGCTTCTAAATGTATGCATGTGCATACACATATATATCTGCACACACATATATATACATGTACACAATGCACAAATGTTCATATGCACAAACACATGCACTTGCATATACACATGTATGTCTGCACACACATGTACATTTGCATACACATGTATCTGCACATGCATGTGTTTACACATACAAGTATTTTTACACACACACACACATACACAGAACAGGTCTCTGAATTATAGGGTATTAAAACAGCTTTGCCAAGAAATGGAGTGAAGTTCAAGAAGTCTTCCCACACCCAGAAAAGGTTCTTTTGGAGGGGGACCCAGGAGCCATCGATAATGGGGAAAGGGGGAAGGAATGCCACTTTCTCTCAAGGAAAACAAAACCCACTCTTGAAACTTCCTGAAGAAAGAACTTTACCCATGAGTTGCTGACCTTGATGATATTTTTAACCATATGAGTGAGATAAATCTTTCAATTCATGCCTTGAAGTTACTACCACTGTGGATGCATCTGAAACATTCAAGCTCTTCTCACCTCAGGCGCTGATACAGGAGACACAGGGCTACTGTCCTTGTAAATGCTCATCTACCTGCAGAGTTGCCTCCAAGATGGAGGTGAGATACCAAATTCGCTTTCAATTTCTTTGAAATGAGAAAGCAGGAAACACATGGAAACTCTTCAAATATTTTGCCAATTTTATCTCTACCATGATGACCCTAAAGTGGAATTATGGATTCCCAAAAAGACTGTTCTCAGATATAAAGTATATGGAAAACATGTGTGGAGACAAGGAAGAATATGTTGATCTTAGGGCAGAAATAGGGACTATAGTACAAGATTGGTACAGTTAGGAATTTAATTAAAGCCACCTTGGAAGGTTCTCATGGCTCTCAAGAGAGTCTGTTTAGAACTTGTGAGGTGAGCTGTAGAAATGTCAGTGCATTTAACATGAACTTAAAAAATTGTAATCATTAAAAGGAAAGATAAAAATTAATTGAATATCCAGCTTGACATGCCTGTTGCTGGTTCCTACCACCCAGAGTTTAACACTCTATTCAAGCAAATGACTATTATGGTTTGGATATGAAGTAGTCCCCTCAAAGGCTTGCTTATCAAAGGTTTGGTCCTTAGTGACATTATTTTGGAAAATTCTAGAAAAATTAGGAGAAGCAGGGCACTGGGATCCTGTCTTTGGGAAGTGTGACTTGTCCCAGGCCACTCTGCTTCCTGTTAATTATGAAGTGGATAGTTCCTCCCTCCACACAATTCTACCAGCCCAGGTCCTTCCCAAATCCATGTGGCCAAAGCAGCCATGGATGGAATCCCTGAAATGTTGGGCCCAAACAAACGGTACCCCCTCTGGGATGTTCTCTTAGATATTCCAGTCAGAGTTATGTAAAGGGAGCTAATACAATTACATTGGCATAACTTCAAAAAGAATAAACATTGATCTTGACTTGTGTTTGATATGCTACTAAAGAAATACATGTATTGCTGTGTTATAGGTATACAAATATATATATATATATATATATATATATATATATATATATATATATAACCTAAACACACACACACACACACACACACACACACACACACACACACACACACATACACAGGACCCTTTAGATTGCCTCCACCACCCCACTCCACACTCAGGCTCCCCACATCATACTCTAGGGTCTAGCCTTTTAAGTATTCCTGACTTCCTCATTCATACCTTTTCTGCAATCTCTCTGAATTAGCTTGGGTTCCCCAACCAGTGTACCAGCCTAGGCTGGCCTTCCAT